AATGTATTCTCCATGCACCCACCCCCCGCCCTCCCCAAACTTGCCTGAGAACGGCTGTCAACGCCACTGGTCCCCGAAGCTGTCTTTAGATCCCAGAATTTCCTGGTTGCATGGGGAAGATACTGAGGGCAGAGGAGCCGTAGACTCCTCCTGTCTTCAGTCAAACTATGAGCAACGGCCGGGAACACGTATTGGGTGCCTCCATAACAGCCGTCTAGCTGATGGCAGCACCCGTGAAGCGATGTGGGGACCCACTAGAGAATGAGGAATTGAACATTTGTAATTAAAAATAATGGAGGATTTGGGTAAGTGTGAGCCTCCCAAAAATAAAAAAAACGTGATGGTTTAATATCACGTCAAGCCTTTCTAAGGTCATGTATTTCCCCCGTGCTTTCTAAACTACAAACCAGATTTCCACACACTGAATTTTTTCCCCGAATATTCAATCTCATCCTTTATAAGCAAACAGTAACTAATGAGAACCTCTTTGGTAAATCCAGATAGTATAGCAACTGAAATTGGAACTAAACTGCAAGTCTTCATTATTTTGAGGCATGGCTTCACTTAAAGAATAAGCTTGCTCGTCCGAACTCCTGAAGCAAGACCGTCTACAGACCTTCTAAGGCTAGGTTCTTGACCTTTGTGAGACCAGGATCCAGTAAAAAAATGTTTTTCATTTTCAATGCCCGACCAACAAAAAAATAAAATCAAGTACAGATAGCAGGGGGATCTGTCAGTCAGTCCTGTCTGTCCTCAGTAGCTCATCGGTCATTTATCTACACCAACTGATCTTAACCCCTTGATGACCGTTGTTACGTTTTTGCATCAAACCCCTCCCGGCCTGACTGCAGCCAAGGTGGTGTGTTTATTCGGCCAATGCTGGTTTATTTGTATTCACTGATTACCAAAGATTCTTTTGGGAGCACTGATCGTGCCCTGTCGCAGTGGTGTAGTTAGCTACAACTGCTTGAAGTACGCAAAGCCTCAGCGCAGTCATACACATGGCTGCTGACTGCTAATTTTGAGAAAATTTGTCTAAATTTTAGGTTATTTTTGTAAAATAAAAGTGTGCAACAGCTTATTGTTTGTTGCCATGGCTTATAAATTGGGGTCAACTCCATGTGATGAAAAATTTTGAAGTTATGTGCAGATTTCGTTTGTCGCTTTTTTGCGACATTAGGCAGTTATGGCTGCATATGAACAATACGATATGTATGTGTAATCTACTTGATTGCATAAAGAGTAATACGTGCAAAGTTGATATTTCAGCATTTTTTTTATAAATCGAGGTTCCACTAGTGGAAGTCTGTTCAGATACTGTGGGTCACTGGCCAGTGGTTGAATGTGAATGGCAACGCTGCAAACACCCAAATTGTAAGGGCCAGACTGTAATCAAATGTTTGAAGTGCAATGTTCACCTGTGCCTCAGTAAGATAAAAAACAGCTTTTGAGAACTCCAAGAGTAAAAATATTTCTTCCCATGTGACTTTTTGTTAAGTTCATGACTTAAACGCCTAATGTCGCTAATTTGCATCATAGCTATATTTTTCTCCATAGTATGTGTTATATTCAAATGAACAATCTCCACCTTATTTAGTTTCTGCTTGATAGCCAAAACACCATTTATTTTTTTATATAATTGGAAATGAATTTAGGCATCAGGGGGTTAATGGGTATAAGGACTTGGGGTGTAAATTCTATGCCTTCCCACCTTTCCCCTG